TAGAACATGTGTTTACAGAAGGGAAGGGGAGAATGGGGGAGTGGTAGAGGGTACCACCTAGGCCTTACTGAACCAACAAATAAGGAGAGCTCACACATCTGTGTCCAAATTATCATACATGTGGAGGCTACCCAGGCAGCCCTAACCATTCCCATCCATTCATCCAGCCTTCAGGTATCATGGGCCTACTATGTGCTAGTCACTGAGAGTACAGGTCAGACATGTCACATCCAGTCTTTACTTCCTTGAGGTATGTAGTTTTGGGGATAGGATGGATGTTAATAATTACATAAGTAACAATTAGAATAAATACCATAAGGGAGACATACAAGATACTACAAGTGGGGAGTGGAGGTTTTATGTAAGGGGGCAGTGTGTTAGTTTCCTATGGCCGCTGTAAAAAATTACCACAAACTCTAGTTTAAAATGACACAAATTTATTTTCTTAGTGCTCTAGAGATCACAAGTCTTAAAATAAAGGTATCAGCAGGATTGCACCCCTTCCGGTGGGTCTGGAAGGGAATGTGTTTCCTTGACCTTTCCAGTTCCCAGAGGCTGCCTGCGTTCTTTGGCTCATGGCCTCTTCTTCCGTCTTCAAGGCTAACATTATAGCATCTTTATATTTCTCTCTCCAGACTGTACTTCCTTCATGGTATCTCTTGCCTCTCTCTCTCATGAGGACCCTTGTGATTACACTGCTTGCTGCCTCCTCCCCCCCGATAATTCAGGATAATCTCATCTCAGGATCCTTAAATTAAACATATCTGCAAAGTCCCTTTTTTCATGCAAGGTAACATATTCTTAGATTCCAGGGACATCTTTGAAGGGTCATTATTCTGTCACAGGGACTATTCGAATCTAGGAGTGGTCAGTGAAGAATTCCCTGAGAAGGATGATAGTTACCAGGCAGGTGAGGAAGCAAGGAAGAGCCTTCAGGTAATGGGTGGAAGGGAACTTGAGTTGTTTGAAGAACAGGCCATTGCGACAGGCCAAGTGTATGAGCCAATGCGTGGCAAGAGAAGACTTTTTAGCCGGCAGCGGAAGTCACTGGAGGATTTTACAGTAGATTTGTATTTAAAAAGAGTACTTTTACTACTGTGTTGACATTGAAGTTAGAGGTAGGTAAGGTGGATGTTTAGGCCACTTAGGAGGCTGTCGTAATTCAGATGAGAGATGCTGGTGGCCTGCCCTTGCTGGTGGTGGGAGATTAAAGAGAAGTAAGTAGACTTGAGATTTAAGCAGAGTGAATCAGTAGGACACTTTGATGGATGGGTGCAGAGTGCAGAGGGGCATGACAGGCATGACCGAGAGGTTTCTAGCCGGGAACCTCTGGGTGGCATTGCCATTTACTAAGTGAGGAAACACCAGAAAAGGATTGGACTTGGGGGGAAGGAGAAGTGCGAGCTCTGGTTTGGGGTAGGTTGATTTTGGTGGCCTGTGAGACAAACAAGTAGGAGTGTCAATATTCATCTAGTCTGAATGAGCCGAGGAAGTGAGGTTTCTGCGATGAAGATAAAGAGTTGGAAATGGTTGGCATGTGGCCATTGATTGAAGCCGTGTGAATGGTTATTGCCTGGACCCTACAGAGAGGCATGTAGATGGGGAGAGAGTCTTAGTGCTCAAAGAAAACTAGCACCTAAAAGTGCCCCCTGGAGTCGGCAATGTTTGGAGCCCATCAGGGATGGGGCAGAATCCAGAAGGGTCTGTTTTGAGAAGCATTCTGGAGGTGAAGTAGAGACAAGTCTTCAAGTATAATATGGAAAACTTCAAACGTATTGGTTTCCTACTGCTGCTGTAACCAATTACCCTTGACTCAGTGGCTTAAATCATACAAATTTATAATCTTATTCTCTTCTGGAGGTCAGAAATCTGAAATGGGTATCCCTGAGCTAAAATGAGGAGATGCAAGGCTGTCTTCTTCCTGGAGAGCGTTTTCTTGCCTTTGAAGCTTCTAGAGGCTGCCTGTGTTCCTTGGCTCCTGGCCCCTTCCTCCATCATCAAAGCTAGCAAAGTTGAGTCCTTCACATGTTGCATCACTCTGATCTTTGTTCTGCTTCTGTCTCCACTTTTAAGGATGCTTGTGATTACATTGATAATCTGAGACAATCTTCCTATTTTAAGGTCAACTGATTAGCAAATGAAGTCCATCTACAACCTCAATTTCCCTTTGCCAGGTAAAGTAATGTGTTCACAAGTTCTGGGGATTAGGATGTGGACATCCTCGGGGGACCATTACTCTGCCTGTATGCCTGGTGGAAAAGTATCAACAGAGTAGTGTGTTGAGTCCCACGTAACCTACAATTCAGCTTCAACAACACAATTTTATCCCTACCCCCCACTTCTCCCCACTTCACTACTGGATTATTTGAAATAAATCTTAGAAATCATCTGATTCATTTGTAAATGATTCATAGTAGCCAGTCATTTAAAGACGTTTAGCTATGAGGGGAGGTGAGAAAGAGGGTAGTAACTGGGAGAGATGTGTAGGAGAGTATGCATGTATTTTTAATAGGGGAGACACTTAAGCATGTTAAATTCTGATGAGAAAGATTTAATAGTGGAAGAGAGATTGGACTTGGACAAGAGAGAAATCTCCATCGTTAACAGGGGAGATACATAAGTTTGAAGGTTCGGGAGTGAGAAATTGAGGAATTTCTTTCTGCTGATTTAATTTTTTTTTTTTTCTGTTGAGTGGCAAGCCAGTGAGAAGGGCAAAGGGATTGCTGAAGTTTTGAGGAGCCCGGGGAAAGTTGGAAATAGTCATTGTGGAGTGGAGAATGAGTGCACCAGAGAACCGTTGTTAGAAGTGGAACATGTTGGGGGCCACTTGAACTTGGTGAATTCCAGTGAATCCATTGAACTTAGTTCTGTGACTTTCCCCCCAGCATTGAACATCTGTCTGGGTGTATGTTCAGAGAAGGTGGATAATTTAGTTCTTACTGGGTCGGTTCTTTGGCCAAGTGATGTGACCAAAGGACAGGGTAATGGGTGCTTATAAGAGCAATTGAGGTCAAAATCCATGGACTCTAAGCTGAGTAAGAAAGTAGAGGAATAAGAAGTTCTAGTGAGATGTAAATATAGCTGTGATGAGATGCTCTAGGGAGTCAGTGGCAGGGCTGAGTCTGGGTAGATCACCAGATCTCGGTGTCACCAGAGTGGATAGCTGAAGTGGAGTGGAACGAAGACAGTTGAGACATCAGGTTGCCGAGAGCAGGGCGTGGGAAGACTCCACACGAGTATCGAAACCACCCAGGATTCTGGCAGGAGATGAGATGTAAAGGTGTCTTCTGTGAGTGGTAGTCAGCCAAGAAGGGGAGAAAGAAAGGGCTTTGTGCAGTGCTGGGAGGCAGAGGCCACGGAAGGGCAGCTGTTTTGACAGAGAGTTTCTCTTAAATACTGCCCTCTGGGTTACTGTCCTTGGTATGAGTCATCACCCTCCCGCTCCCTCTCCAGAGAGAAAATAGTAAGACAGGTAGAAAAAAATCAGACTCAACCCAAGAATTCCTAAATAGCAAAAATCATGTATTAACTTGAATATATGGCTACCTCATAAAGATTTAATGAGATGTGTCCATGTGCGATACTTTTATATCTGACATTATGTCTAGGCTTTAAGCCATTTATTTGAATGTTTCAAAAATGACTATGGGTGTATTTAATATGCATTATTTACATTGATTTATGTTTGAGATATAGTTTTATTGAAAATTTTAGTGATTTTTGTCTGTATCATAAAATCCTGCTGTAATATAAGTATTATTTTAAATTCAGCCTTGTATATGGGGTCACATTATTGTGAAGACAGTGAAACACACACACACACACACACACACGTGCAAAAAGGTAGTGAAACTTCTGTACACACAGATGACCACTGAAATCAAAGTCTCAGAGGAGGGTAAAGGAATTTAGATTGGTAGAACAGTATGTGGACCTAGAAAACAAGTGAAAACAGACAATATTATGATAAGGACATAGAATATGCTATTTCTGCTGTGGTTATCTTTGTTTAAAATTGGGTTATTTTGCATTTAATATTGTTTATTGACATGACCATTTTGACTAGTTCTCAGCCCAGTTTTTGGCCATTTCTTCCTGTGATAGGAGATGCTAACTATGAGTTCAAAATCAAAATAAGTAGCAGCAGCAGATTGAGTTTTTATAAAACATAAGTCTATTTTTTTTAAATACCCGTCTCCCACATCTTTGCGCTTCTGTGAGCTGTGGGTCCTCTGTGATAGCCTGAGAATATACATGGGGAGCCCGATTCTGCCCACCCCCAAACCACTCACCTTCCTAATCCCTGCAGACTTATCCAGGCCCTCGAGAGGAATGACAGTGTGCTGTTGCCGGTGATCACTGGGCCCTTAGTGGAGCTCAGTACATAGTTTTGTGTGATGTGATTGCTCTGCATAGCCTTTGGTTAAGATCATGGGTACCCCAGTCTGCCTCCTGGGTTCAAGTCCTAGCTCTTGCTGCTTACTGACTGGTCCGTGGACAGATTCTTAACCCTTTTGAGATTATGTTTGTGTGTGTTAAATCACTGTTTTGTTCACTCTTCTATTGTCAGAGTCTAACTAAAATAGTGTCTGTCACATAGTGGGTGTGTGACAAATCTTTATCAAAATGAAGAAATTAGCTTTGAAAGTGATGCTGTGATTCTATACACCACCAAATATTATAAAAGCTGCTACTGCTATCTGAGCTTACAGTGTTTTATTCAGAAGCTCTTAATTATAGGTTGCTCATTTGCCTATCTCACACCTCCTTTCCCAGTAGAAGATAATTGAAACCAGGTAGAACATGTTTGAGGGGATGGGGATGATTAAGTTGGTGAGAAGATTTACGTCTGGTTTACTTGTGACATCTTTTCTTTCAGCATGAGTATTAGCAAACAATGGGGGACCAGAGGACATGCTTACCTCAAGTGGTTTCCCTCAAGTATCATTTTTCTTTTCTATTTTACATGCAAAAGAGCTTTTATTATTTTTCTCTTTCAGGGCACCAATGCCTCTGCTCTGGAAAAAGACATTGGTCCAGAGCAGTTTCCAATCAATGAGCACTACTTTGGATTGGTCAACGTAAGTATTTAAAAATCTATTTTTTTAATCAGATGTGTTTTGAAGTAACTCCTCTGCCATTTTCATCATTACCAATTTTTAGATAATTGTTCATGCTCTTTAGTTGCTAGAAGTGGCAAATGTTGGCAAGGGAGAAATTTAGTCCAGGTTTTGAAAGTATGAGTTGTCTCAGAAAAAGTTTAATTACTGCATTATCAGATCCGATTCTTATTTCCCCCGTCTTTGGTGGTGTTGGGGGGGCGGATTTCCTTTGCACATGTAACTTTCAGGGATTTTATTTGCTTTTGTAACCAAATCTGCTTGTATATGTTCTCCCCTTATCTTCTAAATGAACTTCTTGCAGTCTTTGTTTCAATATGCATGGGTACAGCCAGAGTTTTAAAAGTGTTACCAGCTTGTCACCAGTAACTGTTTAACAATATAAGTTGATGGTGGTACCAGAAGCAGGGGCAGGGTATGGGGGGGAAACTGGGACCAGTTTGTCTCAAAATTCCTTGGCCTCATTTTACCTGTGCTCAGCACAGTCTCCCTTGTATATTGCCAGACTTACCAGGCTCTGCTTCCTTGATAAGTCGATTTTTAGTAAGGCAGTTTCACTCACCACCCTCATGAGCTTTCTTCCTCACCCGACCCTTTCTCTCCAGGGTGGAGGTTTTAAGTGAAATCAAGTGTTAACTCATAAGTACCTCATTTTCTGGAACAACTGCCCTGAGCAAAGTCTGTTGGTGCCTAGGTGCGATAGGTAGTCATTTCCACTGGGCAAGCTGGAAATATTCTCTGCGAGTGAATGCCACCTGTGATATAATGGAAAGAATATTTGCTTCGAAGTAATGCAGACCTAAATCTGAGTTCTGCCTATGCTTTTTACTAGCTGTGTGATCTTGGGCAAGCCATCTGATCTCTCTGAGCCTCCTTTTCCCCATCTGTAAAATGGAGATCATAATGGTTTCTACCTTGGGGGTTATAATGAAAGATCAATCAGAGCTCCTTTTGAAGACTTTGACATGGGGTTAAGGTAATATTGTAGACACTCAGTGAATCTTAGTTCCTTTTCTTTCCCAGGAGTCGTCCACTGGATCAGGACCAAGTGCACTGCAGGGTATCTGGGTAAAGGCAGGGCACTGAGTAAAAGAAAAAAGAATGGACAAAGGAAGCCTAAAGTACTGGAATATGGGGCATTGTGTTAACAAAATACTGACTTCCAGTTTTATTAGATTTTTTTAGCCATTGTGCACAGACCTCTGCTTAAGTGCTATGAAGATCGTTCTTCAAGTTGCGAGAATTGTGCCCTGGCTATGGAAAACATAAATGCAGACTATGGGGGGTGGAAAGAATTAAGGCCACTTCCTGGTTTGTGGAAGCATTGTGAAATCTAAATTATTAATGGATTTATTTATGTTTGCTTTGAATGTTAATTCATGAAAGTTCCAGCTTCTCTCTAAAAAGAGGTTTGCCTCCTATTACATAAGCATGTTCAAGTAGATCAAAATATGTAAAAATTGGAGATGTTTTATCTTAGCATTTGCTGAAATGGCTTGTTAAGTATGGCGCAGCATCTGTCTGGGTAAACGACACCCAAGCCAACAACCAATCCTGAGAAGATGTTCATGTACTACTTTAAATCTCCATAGCATTTTGTGATCTATGATGTTAATTTTGTTATTTACTTAGATTTTTTTTTCCCTTTTCATTTTACTGTGTCGGAAAAAATTTGAAAACGATAGTTTCAGCTGTGTTCTTCTACAGAGTTGGTTTTACCGTCAGTAAAAACCAGCAAGATGATGACTTTTTCCCTTTTTAATCATCTGGGTATCTGTGGGTTTTGAGAGGTGTCGAATCTTGCTGTGCGGGCCCTGATCTGATTGTGGGAGACCAGGAACTGGGTGGTGGTCTATTGCCGTCTTGGCAGAAACAAAATCGAGGGTAACTTAGGAGTTACGAGTGAGGAAGCTGATGGGGCGACTGGAAGAAGCGCCTTTTTGCCTCCCTTGCTCTGGAGTGAGCAGGGAAATGTGTTCTGAAGCCGGAGGGTAGAGAAAAACTAAAACAAGTCCCCATGCAGTTAAGGCTGTTTCGGCTGAGTGAGTGGTTCCTGGTTCCTGGATCTCTTTTTGATTTGAATTTTAATTTTTCCTTCATAGGAGTTTTGATGTGTTACAATGTGGTATATTTTATTTGGCCAGCTGCTTTTCTGGGTCTCCATATTATGTCATTTTTTCCCTTCTCTTTCTTTTTTAAGCGTCAGAAGTTCTCGTTAGATTTTTTTTTTTTGTTTAATCCAGGCAGAGTGCTTATTTTTATTTTAGAGACACTAATGGGTTAGAGAGGCACCAGGCTTATGTAAACTTGTGTTCATTTCCCTGTTGATCAGCTAGTTGCTAACGTTTAGAGCGGTTTACTAGTTTTCCGACATGGCGAACAGGACTGTGGCACAGGGAAGTCCAGGCCAGTTCATGGAGGGTGGCCTTCTCCCTTTCCCCACCCGTTGCAGAGGTGGCATGTCCCAGAGCATGATTCGAACCATCCCTGTTGTCCTTTGGCAGTTTGGGAACACATGCTACTGTAACTCCGTGCTTCAGGCCTTGTATTTCTGCCGACCGTTCCGTGAGAATGTGCTGGCATACAAGGCCCAGCAAAAAAAGAAGGAAAACTTGTTGACCTGCCTGGCAGACCTTTTCCACAGCATTGCCACGCAGAAGAAGAAGGTCGGCGTGATCCCACCAAAGAAGTTCATTTCAAGGCTGAGGAAAGAGAATGGTGAGTAGTGTGGAGATGAATGTACTTAAAGACCTGAAATAAGGAAAGCCAAACAGTACTGTGTACCTCAAAATGAATCCCTTTTTTTAAAGGGGAAAATAGTGTGGTCAACTGCTCAAATGTAATTTTTTTAAGAAATTTCTCCTTTCCCACCCAGTATACATAAAACTGGATAAAAAATGTGCTTAAAAAATTCAGATTTGTCATCTCATTTTGGAATGGTCTTTTCATTTGCTCCACATTTGGAAAGGAGTTTTTTTCTGGGTAGGATCATTATAAGAGGAAAAATTGCCCAAGGCAGCCTTCTGAGCCAGGACACTGATTGGAATAAATAGGTTAATGCAATAATTAAATAAAATAGCACTGTCTTATAATCTTGTCATAAGTGATTAAAGTAAATGCATATTGTCCAATCAGAGCCTCTACTGTTTTAAAAATAATATCTCTGGTTTTACTTACCTAAGATAATTGAAGGATATTAAATTGATACCTTTATATAATAAAAATGTCTTGCTGTCAGCTGATTTTTTTTCCCTGCTTTTTCTAACTTCTCTTTGGAGTGGCGGGGGGTGGAGGGAGTGGTGGTAGAGACTAGGTTATTCCAGAAGTTTTACAATGGTAATTTTTATAACTTTAGAAATATTTGATATGGCAACTTGTGTTTATCCTCAATTTCAGCCTTACTCTAACAGAGTTGCGCAGTTAATTAGATGTTTGTTTTATAAAGCTTCATTTAATTTGATTGCTGTCTTTTAAAGTTGTTGTAGTTTATGTATACCAGAATAAAAATAATCTGAGAAGGAAGCAGAGCACTCCCAAGTCTCATTGTGAACGTGATTAATAATGAAGTTTCACAGCTGCATTTATCTCTAAATGGTTTGTCCTTATGACAGAGAACAGCAATAAGCTTCTGGGAACATTCGTATTTGGTTTCAGAGCACTATCAGATAGATACATTCTCACATCTATCCCTTGTCTCCCTTACTTACCTGTTTCATTTAAGCTGCTTCCAGGCTGGGCCAGCGTTTAATATGATCTTTGGGAAGAGACCCCAGTTGCTTTGGATAAATTACAAAATGAATAATTGATCATTGGTGGTCACATCATATTAAATATTGATATTTTATCAGAGAACTTATCAAGTAATTTCTGCCCTTTTTTTGTAGAACAAAAAAAGTTTGCTAGCTTTTTATTAATGACTAGGGAAGTTCTTGTTGGGCAGTAAAAAAAAATCGAAACAAACAAAGATTCTTTTCACACTTATCCACTGAAGTTGCAGAATAGAGTTGAATATATTCCATACCTGTCCATTCTTTGACTATGAAAATTGAAGTGTGGCATATGTAAAACAGCATTTTTGTTTGTGTTTCGAGAACCAGAGATTGAAATAATGACCTTCTCCTTTCCAGATCTCTTTGATAACTACATGCAGCAGGATGCTCACGAATTTTTAAATTATTTGCTAAACACTATTGCGGACATCCTGCAGGAAGAGAAGAAACAGGAGAAACAAAATGGGAAATTAAAAAATGGCAACATGAACGAACCTGCAGAAAATAATAAACCAGAACTCACCTGGGTCCATGAGATTTTTCAGGGAACGCTCACCAATGAAACTCGATGCTTGAACTGTGAAACTGTAAGCATTAGTAGGGCTCTCAGTGTAATTTGCTTGTGCATATTTGTACAGGCCATGTTGTGTGTGAGCACAGTGTGCTATTATAGCACCCAGCAGTTGTCTTCATTATGTGCAGATAATTCTCTTTATGTATATATGAACCTCAGGTGAAACTTTTGGAAGCTATCTCCATCCAGGATGTCTCAGCTGGCTAAAATAGGGTGACGAGGACACATCTCAAAAACTGAATTGCTTTGCATCCTGGGCAAATTTTAGGGCCCACAAATTGAACTATTGAACTGGATCCCTACCAGTTATCTTGAAAAGATTTTGGTCATGAAGAGGTCATGTGCGACTTAGAACAGACCATTTACCTAATTTAAAGAAATCATTTGTGTGATATGGTGAACTTGATGTTAGAAGACAGCCTTGATTCCTGATCCCGTAGCAGCAATTTGGGCGTTTGGGCGAGTCCCTTACATCACTGTGGTGGGCCGGGTGAGCTTATGTGGTTGGATGAGTCTGGCACATGGTAGGCACTTAGTGTTAGTTAATTTGAAGACATGATCTCCAGAGCATGATTCAGGATGTTATGTTTGCTTACTATATTTGATTTAACTCTCTGCACGGCCGCATAATGTGGTAGTTAAAAGCCCAGCTCTGGAGCCAGGCTGCTGAGTTTGTATGCTGGCTTAGCCACTCCTCTATGGACCCTGTGCAGATGATTCAGCCTCCCTGCCCCATTCTCATCATCTATAAATTCGAGATGATGAGAGTGCCTATCTCAGAGGGTAGCTGGGGGGATTAAATGAGTTAACACTTGTAAAACACTTAGAACCAAGCATGGCACATACAAAGTGTGCAATAAATGTCAGCTATTATTACATATAACTACTAAAAACATAGAAAGTCTGTAGGTTCATTAGGATTCTCAGAGTTTCTTGCCAATATGAGAAAAATTCTGTAGGATTGTGCATTTTTCTGAGGGAAAAAAACTGTCTTTCATCAGATCTTGTTAAGGGGCTGTGACCTAGAAATGGTTAAGAAATGTGGACTTAAGTGGGAGGCTCTTTGTTTTTTGACAGTCTTTCTTCTGTCCTTTTAAACAATTTGGAATCGACATTCTGATTTGTTCATTGTAGAAACAATTACAAAATATGGCTAAGCAAGAAGAGACTAGAAATTACCAGTAATCTCCTCACCCAGAGATGATAAATTTGTAACATTTTCTAAAAATGATGATCACATTAGCTCAGATAACCACTTGGACATTTTGAAATGTATCCTGCCAAAACATTTTATACACATACTTATTTACCTAGAGATCTTTCCTTCCTCCCTTCCTCCTTCTGTCCCTTTGTATTTTTTATTTCAGTACAATTCAAATGAATGCAAAGTAGAGAGAATAGTATAATAAATCCCATGTGTGTTACTTGGGATCAGTTACTGTTAACACATTGACCCATCTTGTTCATCTCTTGTTCTACGCCCTCTCCCTTGCTCACCGAACTTGTCTGTTTTTAAGCAAATCTCAGATAACATATCACTTCTTTTGTAATTTCTTCATTACTTTGTTGTATATCTCTAAAAGATAAGAAATCTTTTAAAAAACATAAGTACAGTACCATTATCACATCTAGAAATAATTCCTTTAAATCATTATTCACTCAGTGTTCAAGTTTATCTGATTATTTTATATATATTTTAGCAGTTGCTTAATTAAATAAGGGTTCAAACGTAGTCCACACATTGTACTTGGTCAGTCTGTGTCTTAATCCATAGGTTACCCTCTCCCAGCTTTTTTTCTTGCAGTTTATTTGCCCTGTATAATTTCCCACATTCTGGAAACATCTGTGGTGGTGTTTAATATGTGTAGTAAATGCTAGTATTTTTTTTTTTTAACCATCCTACTCTATGTTTTTATTTATCCCACCTATTTTATATTTCTTTTTCTCTCTTGCCTTCTTTTGGATCAATGAAATGTTTCTTTTTTGTTTTTTGCATCTATTATATTATTAGTTTTAAATTCTTTTAGAGTTTACTCCAGAGATGACAATGTGTATCTTTGACTTAGTTCATTTTTTACCACTTTCCCAACAATGTTAAAAGCTTTAGACTACTTTATCTCTTCTTTTGTGTTATTGTTTTGTGATAAACTCATGAGTTTTAACATTTCATGTGTTTTAGTCCATTGTAGTTTTTTTAATAATTTATTTTTTGAATAACTTTATGTACTTTTTAAACATTAAAATTAGAGCTCTTTTGTAAATATTATAATTGCTAGTCTTTTTTTCTTTCTGTCTTTTAATAAGGGAGTATTCCTGGCACTGTCTTCACCTTACCTTTCATATCATGCTAGTCTTTTTTTCTTTCTGTCTTTTAATAAGGGAGTATTCCTGGCACTGTCTTCACCTTACCTTTCATATCTATTCTGTCATCAGGTCCCATCTGTTATATCTCTCTTTAATCCTCTCCTTCCCTCGTTCCCTCCACTGTTCCACCACAGATGAGGCCACCATTGGCTCTTGACTGGCAGTCTCAACTAAACTACTGTAGTAATGTCCTACTGGATTTTATGCTTTTTTTTCTTGCCCCCCTTCATGTTATTTTCTTGCCAAAAGTATAGCAGTGGCCTCCAATTTCTTTTCTTTGGAAGAGTTTGTATAAGTTTTGATTTATCTGTTCTTTGAATGTTCGGTGGAACTCACCACCTGTCTTTGCTTCCCTCAAACATATAGTTTTTGATTTTTATATGAATGGAATCATACAATATGTACTCTTTTGTGTCCCCCCACCTCAATATTTCTTGTAAAACTAATTTGTGTGGTTGCATGACGCTTTAGTTCATTCATTTTCATTACCATATAGTATTCCATTGCATGAATATATCACAATTCACTAGTCCATTTTACTGTTGCTGGATGTTTGGTTGTTACCAGTTTGGGGCAACTATGGACAATGTTGCTGTGAACATTCTAATACCTATAATCTAATGTACACAAATCCAGTTTCTCTACGATATGTACACAAGTGGATTTATTAGGTCATATGGTGTGCTAATCATTAAACTTATCAGAAAATATCAAATTCCCAAAGTGGTAGCACCAATTTACATACCCAGTATGTGAACATTCTCATTTCTCCACATCCTTTCTCTGCCCCCTACTCTCAGATGTCTTCATTTTGGGTAATATAGTGACTGTGTAGGTGAATATTCTTTTTTTCAACAAATATGTTCCCTTCCCCATCTGCTGTGTAGAGGTCCAGGCACTGAGGATGCGGTGAGAACCGTGCCTTTTTGGAACTGTCAGCATGAGGACAAACATTAATAAGAAAATGAATAATTAGTTGTGTAATTATGATTGCAAAATGCTGACAAGTACAGAGTTCTCCAAGCTATGGTACAGGAACCAGAACAATGGGGCATCGCGTTTATACATTTGTAGCTAAGAGCTGGTTTACTCCTTTTGGTTATCTTTGAAGTAAACATGTTACTAAATCCATCTTGCAGTACTGTGTGGATTTTCAAGAAGGCTCAGATGAGAGGCTAAGTCATTTTTGTAGTCTCTTTTTTGTCTGTGAACAGGTCAGTAGATCTCAACAAATGCAAATAATATATCTCAAATATTTGTATTGAAAAAACCATTACCTAGCCTGTTATTTCATGTAGGGTTGCCATAGATGAGAAGCCTAAGCCCAAAAATTTCTCCAAAAATTTTGGATGGTACTGTAGAATGTGTGATAATGGTATTCCAACCATTTATTCTTGGTTTGTGGAAGTGAATGTGAGTGTGTGGGTATGTCTTTCTGGAAGATGGGACAATCTGAAAAAGCTACATTTATTCTCCCTGAAATGAATACTATATGATTTGAGGCAAGACCGTTTCCCCTCTCCCCCTGGAGTTACTTAGTTAATCAGTTCCATTTTCTTAGATCCTTTAACTGAAGAGGATCCTCGGAGTCATCTAATCCTTTCTTTACCCGTGCCCAAGTCCCTTCTATGATGTCGTAGCCAGTTGGTCACGAGCATCTGCTGGACCTTGTCCAGAGACAGGCAACTCAATCTCCTGAGGAGATGCATTCCATTTTTAGAAAGCTCTAATTGTTAGAAAGCCCTCTACTTTCTAAGAAAATACCTAACCTGCAGGCTTTGTTGTTGTCGTTACTCTAAAACATTGAGGACTTGTGTAAATGAATACTTAGCGTTAGTTTTCTTACTCAGAATGAGGCGCTCCGACCCCCTTTGGCAGTGCCCTCTGCAGGCAGCCTTTAGATGGTGCTTCAGCCAGACTTGCCAAGACCCACATTTGTGGAATTAAGTTGCACCAGACCCTGAGCAGCACCTTAGCCTCTGGGGGAGCCTTGCCATTATAGCTGCCCAGCTGCTAGTTCCTCCATTGTGGAACTCTTTGTGCCAGCCTTTGTGCTTTCAAAAACAATAATTTTTATTTCTGGGTCTCCCCCTTTGTAAATGTTGCTTATGATTGCAGTGCAAATGTCAACGGCGGGAGGGAAGGGAGGGGGGAATAATTTATGGAGATAGTTTCATTCTGCAGTAGACTTGGAGAGACTATTTTAAGGAGTAATTCAGTGCTAACTTTCTCAGATAGCCTTCAGAATTGAGGCGTGGGGATTTTACAGTGTAGCTTCAGTGCTCTCTTGGTTTTTTGCTTGTTTCATAAGATTTGCAGAGCCAATTGGAGCTTAATTCTGTTGTTGTTCATTTTCTCTCTTTCCAATTAAACTGAATTTTTGCTCTGCAAATTAGTGGTTTTCAGTGCTTCAGTAGCTTTAAGACACATTTCTCTCTGTTACTGGAGCCCAAGTTTGTCTAGAGAACTGCTTTATTGCGTATCAATGGTACAGCTTCTTCTTGCTTTGTTTGCAGAGGTTAAAGTTGATTTAGTAGAGCTTCTGAGCTCTTCTCAGAAGAGGAGTGGGGATGGGGAGTGTGGCTAGGTGTGACTGCTCACTGAGCTGAGATTCTCAAGCCCTGGGATTGAGGCAGCTGTAGTGGCCAC